AATATATCTCTTTGTGTTTATTCATATACTCCATAATTCTTGTTTATTTGACATATATATTATATGTTACTTTTTATACTACATGTTTGAAGTGATCAACTTCTTAATTAGTTGTCTGATTTATTTCTACAAGTATATTTTCATTGAAAATTATTTTTATTTGTTCTAACCCATTTACTTTTGTGATTAGTTTCAATATGTCAAACTTGTCAAAATTTGAATTTGTGGCACTAGACATTACCGGAAAGAATTATTTATCATGGGTCCTTGATGCTAAAATTCACCTTGACGCTAAAGGTCTTGGAAATACTATTATACAAGAAAATGAAGCATCAAATCAGGATAAAGCGAAGGCCATGATTTTCCTTCGTCATCATCTACATGAAGGGTTAAAAACTGAATATTTAACTGTAAAAGATCCACTTGAGTTATGGATTAATTTGAAGGATCGATATGACCACCTAAAACTTACGGTATTACCGAAAGCTCGGTATGAATGGATACATTTAAGGTTGCAAGACTTTAAAACCGTAAGTGAGTATAATTCGGCTATCTTTAAAGTAAGTTCTCTATTAAAATTATGTGAAGACACTATCACACATGAGGACTTATTAGAAAAAATATTTTCTACTTTTCACGCTTTAAATGTGGTGCTACAACAGTAATACCGTGAAAAGGGTTTTAAGAAATATTCTGAGTTAATCACATGCCTACTTGTGGCAGAGCAGAATAATACTCTATTAATGAAAAATTATGAAACCCGACCTACTAGGTCAGCACCATTCCCGGAAGTGAATGTTATAGCAGCATATGCTAAGTCTGAAAGAAAATAAAATAATTACCGTGGTCGTGGACATAGTCGTAGACGTGGACGTGGCAGGGGACGAAACAATTATCGTCATTATGGTGGAAGTAAACAGGAGAACAATAAGAGTTCTCAAATTAATCCTTCAAAAGGTAAAATTAGTATGTGTCACCAATGTGGTATGAAAGGTCATTGGGCATGCATTTGTCATACGCCAGATTATTTTGTCAAACTTTATCAAGCCTCCCTTAGAAAGAAAGAAAATAATGTGGAGGCACACTTGACCTTTCAAAATAATGATGATGAAGCAGGTCCCTCAAACAAATATGATTCTGAGGCACATCTTGCATATAAAGATGATGATTTTGGAGGCCTGGCAAATATTACTCATTTAGAAGCTGGAGACTTCTTTGAGGATATTGACTGAAGAACTAATCATCTTACTGGAAATGAAGCTATAATAAAAGTTGTCATTTTGTTATGTTTGCAACTAATTTATTTTTCTTAAGTGTATTTTCCTAATGTATCATGTGTTGCTAGTTTCTACATTCCTAATTTATTTCTTAATATATATTTTGTTTGTCTTTCGTATTTCTTATAATGTACTTTTTGATTTTTTTTTATGAAGAATATGAAAAATTTTCGGTCTTCGGTTGGACTCAAGATTAATAAAGATGATATATGTCTTCTGGATAGTGCTACAACACACACTATTTTAAGAGATAAGAGATATTTCTCTTATTTGGTAATGAAAGAAGCCAATGTTAATACAATATCCGGTAGTACAAAATTAATTGAAGGTTCTGGAAGAGCCAATTTATTACTACCAGGAGGAACAAATTTGGCTATTGATGAAGCACTATATTGTAGTAAATCTCAAAGAAACTTATTAAGTTTCAAAGATATTCGCCAAAATGGCTACCATATTGAGACTACAAATGAGGAAAAGATTGAATATCTTTATATTACTACAATAATGTCTGGTAAGAAATATGTGCTTGAAATATTACCTGCTCTTTCCTCCGACTTATACTACATAAGTATTAGCAAGATTGAAACGTATGCCATAGTAAATGAAAAGTTTACTAATCAAGATAATTTTATTATTTGGCATGACCGGTTTGGTCATCCTGGTTCTACTATGATGCGTAAAATAATTGAGAATTCACATAGACATTCAATGAAGAACCATAAGATTCTTCAATTTAAAGAATTCTCTTGTGCTGCATGTTCTCAAGGCAAATTAATTATTAGACCATTAGCTATTAAAGTTAGGATGGAATCTCCTATATTTCTGGAACGTATACAGGGTGATATATGTGGGCTCATTCACCCTCCACGTGGACCATTCAGATATTATATGGTTTTGGTAGATGCATCTATAAGATGGTCACATGTGTGCTTACTATCAACTCGCAATATGGCACTTGCGAGATTGTTGGCTCAAATAATAAAGCTAAGAGCACAATTTTCAGATTATGCAATTAAGACAATTCGTCTTGATAATGCTGGTGAGTTTACATCCCAAGCCTTTAATGATTATTGTATATCAACTGGGATAACAATTGAGCATCCGGTTGCTCATGTCCATACATAAAAATGGTCTAGCGGAATCATTGATCAAACGCCTCCAATTAATTGCTAGACCAATGCTTATGAGAACAAAACTTCCTATTTCAATATGGGGTCATGCTATTTTACATACAGCAGCACTTGTGCGGATAAGGCCCACAAGTTAATATAAAGTCTCCACATTGCAATTGGCTTTTGGTCAGGAGCCAAATATTTCTCATCTTAGAATCTTTGGTTGTGCGATATATGTTCCAATTGCTCTACCACAACGCACAAAGATGGGTCCCCAAAGAAGGTTGGGAGTATATGTTGGGTATAAATCTCCTTCTATTATAAAATATCTGGAGCCTATGACTGGAGATTTATTTACAGCAAGATTTTCTGATTGTCATTTTGATGAATCAGTATACCCAATATTAGGGGGAGAAAATAAGCAGCTGAGAAAAGGAGATAGATTGGAATATATTATTAATATCTCATTTAGATCCTCGAACAAATCAATGTGAACAAGAGGTTCAAAAGATAATTCATTTGCAAAATATTACAAATCAACTGCCAGATGCATTCACTGACCTACCAAGGGTGACTAAGTTACATATTCCAGCCGCTAATGCTCCAATTCGAGTGGATATCCCGGTAGGATAATTAATTAAAGGAAATAATTTTAAACCACGCTTGAAACGTGGTAGACCTATCGGTTCTAAGGATAAAAATCCTCGAAAAAGAAAATGAGCAAATGATCAAATTGATCATAATACGGAGGTAGTGACTCAAGAAGAGCACAAAGACATAACAAATGATAAAACCTCAAGGGAGGTTTAGGTACCTGAAAATGATAAGAATGAAGAGATCTCAATAAGTTATGTCTTAACGGGAAAAAGATGGAACCGAAATAATATTGTTATCGATAACGTTTTTGCTTATAATGTCGCTATTGAAATAATGCAACAAGATGAGGATCTTGAACCAAAATCTGTTGATGAATGTAGACAGAGAAATGATTGGCCAAAATGGGAAGATGCTATCCAGGCAGAATTAACTTCACTTGCAAAACGTGAAGTTTTTGGGTCTGTAGTCCAAACACCAAATGGTGTTAAGCCTGTTGGCTATAAATGGGTTTTTGTACGTAAAAGGAATGAGAAAAATGAGGTACAAAGATATAAGGCACGCCTTGTTGCACAAGGATTTTCACAAAGGCCTGGTATCGATTATGAAGAGACATATTCTCCTGTTATGGATGCTATAACGTTCCGTTATCTCATTAGTTTTGCTGTCCATGAAAAGCTTGACATGCATTTAATGGATGTGGTTACAGCCTACCTTTACGGCTCACTTGATAATGAGATATACATGAAAATTCTCCGGGGATTTAAAATGCCTGATGCACATAATTCGAAGTCCCAGGAAATGTTTTCAATCAAACTGCAAAGATCTTTGTATGGTCTAAAGCAATCAGGTAGAATGTGGTATAACCGCCTTAATGAGTATTTATTAAAGGAAGGTTATATAAACGATACCATTTGTCCATGTATTTTTATAAAGAAAACAACATCAGAGTTTGTTGTACTTGCTGTATATGTTGATGACATAAACCTTATTGGAACTCCTACAGAACTCCAAAAGGCAATTGATTATTTAAAGAAGGAATTTGAGATGAAAGATCTCGAAAAAACAAAAATCATGTCTTGGTTTGGAAATTGAACATTTGGCAAACGGGACTTTTGTTCATCAATTTGCCTACATAGAAAAGGTATTGAANGGACAAAGCACATTTCATCAAAGTTATTTTACACACATGATCTTCAAAAGAATGGTAATATCAATGTGCAACAGATCCGTTCAAGTGATAATATGGCTGATTTGTTCACCAAATCTCTACCGACGTCAACCTTCAAGAAACTAGTGTACAAGATTGGGATGCGAAAGTTCAAGGATGTGAATTTATGCTCTCATCAGGGGGAGTTAATACGTGTTGTACTCTTTTTTCCTTACAAGGTTTTGTCCCGCTGGGTTTTCCTTGCAAGGTTTTTAATGAGGCAACCATAAGGCGTATTTCTAAATATGTGTACTCCTTTTCCTTCACTATGATTTTTTTTTTCAATAGGATTTTGTCCTAATAAGGTTTTAGCGAGGCACATTATCTATGGACACCCAAGAGGAGTGTTATAAGAGAAATCAAATTATGTTGAATGTCTACTCTTCCTCCATGATCTTCTCAAATGCTTAATGACATATTCAATGACATATTTCTATGCTTAATGACATATTCAATGACATATTTTTATTCACTTTTTATGCCTATATAAAAGCCTTGTAATAGATAGGAAAAACATACAATTGAAGAAGAAATAAGAATCTCTCTTCCTCTCTTTCTTTCTATATCTCTTAGCTTGTTTTTTCTTGTTCGATATTGTTATTTTGAGTTATATTTATAACAAGAACCAGGATTTGTTAAATATAGACGGACACCAAAAGTACTCATTTTTTATAAACTTAAAAAGGACCAAAACTACTCAGGGTATACTTAAGGGCCTATGTTAAATCTACCACAAACTTAAGGGTCCATTTTTGTCATTTTCTCAAAATTGAGTACAAAAATAAATTGGGGTGTGATTCACAGCTCAGTGTGAAGTGCGACCCCTAGCTCGTCTCTCTCTTCGTCTCTGCTCTGTGAGTCACAACTCATCTCTGTGCTCGCTAATGACTACATTGTCTTTACTTTTCTTTTAAGTTTCTTTGTTTTTCTCCACCAGTTCATGTATTTGTTTCTTAATCTTGTTGTTAATTGGAAATAATGCTGGAAAACTAAGCTCTGCTAGGTCATCAATGCTTTCAGCTTTTAGCATTTGGTGAATGTGATGGAATCTTATTAATATATCTTCTATCCTTTCATATCAGTTGGATGAGTGTGTATAACGTTTTCTTTCTAGTATTTTCACCATTAATAATTATTAGGATTTCTGTTCCTCTTTCTGATGACTTGTTCTCAGTGTTGTTATGGAAGGCAAAAATCCATAAAAACGATAAAAAGTGTTGAGGATTGTTGGAGCTTTAAGTGCAAAACACAAATATAGTGCGAGTTTTAATGAAGAATTACGCAGTTGAAGAGAAAACTTAAAAATAGTTATCAAATTTAAGAATAATAACTGTAAACATAAAAAAAAATGTATATATGGACAAAGGACTAAATAATAGTAATTAAGTGAAATAGTTATGTTTAGTGTTGCCCTCTTCATGGCAAACCTCATGGGTGATGAGACACAAACCTTAAAATGTCTTGGTGCCTGAACTAAAGTGCTAAGTCTATTTTGCCCCTACCTTGAGGACCTAAACGTGCCGCAAGCGAGTCTTTGACAACACTTCTTGTTCTTGTGGTCTTTTATTTGTGTCTACACACTTTATGTGTTTGACTCTACTACTTCTACTAGCTATGTGGTATTATTCTTATGAGGACACTTTATGTGTTTGACTCTACTACTTCTACTAGCTATGTGGTATTATTCTTATGAGGACACTTTATGTGTTTGACTCTACTACTTCTACTAGCTATGTGGTATTATTCTTATGAGGACACTTTATGTGTTTGACTCTACTACTTCTACTAGCTATGTGGTATTATTCTTATGAGGACACTATAGATTTTGTGCATTTCACATGTCAAATTCATCATGCTTGCGTTGTGTTTTCTTCCCTACTATTCCTGCACAAGTTCCTCATTGCGACCGTAGTGTTTAATGACCAAGACAGGCACGGGAAAGCGACATATGCTACCTGCCCATCCTCTGAAATATAGTCACCAGGTTATATGCAAGTGACAAGACCAAGCATTTAAGCTCAATAAGTTAATTCGGGTATCTGCTTGACAGTTCAAAAGATGTTTCTCATATTACCAATTCATCCAAAGCATTGCAGCTATTATCCATCGCAAATATACAGCTGGTTGGTAGCTAATGATACTGGCTCTTAAGTGTATACATTATATTTTGAAGCAACTATTGATATGAGTAAGATTCAAGATTCTTCCATATACTTTTTTACTTTAATTTAGTCACAAAGTCTTTCTGGTGATAGTTAAGAGAGATGAAGATATTACACCTGGTAAGGAAAATGTACTCTTGTCAGATGTTTTAGAGAGCCGTGTTTATGTGAATTTCATAGCACTGAGGCCATGGGTGCCTTGAGAGGTTTTAGACAACCTCATTTATTTATCTTCTGGAATGAATCCCTACCGTACACTGCTTAAATTTTATGCACTTTTATGTTTATTCAGTAAGAACATCATTTTGTTTTCGTTATACATGAAAAAGAATGTACATTTATCATTCATCTGTAAAGCTGGAAAAGTTACATTATACAAACATATGTTTCTCGCCTTGTGGTGGAACTTCCTCTATTTGGCTTGTCATAGTTTGTCTTTGGGTTGCTACTCGGGTTTGGGGAGTTGATTTCAGTGTTTGAGTATGTTGTTTAACCAAATTTGCATATTATTTTTTTTGGCTGGAACAAGAGATAGAGAAATTGATGATATCTGAAGACTTCAAGGTGTTGGTATCCTCATGGCTGGAACAGATGATATAACTAATGATGATATTGAAAGCCGCCAAGGTATTGATTTAGACTTGTGCAGATAATAAATATTGCATTTCTAGATTATGATATACTGAAATTTAATTCTCTCAAGTTGCTTGCTTCTTTTGTTTTTTTCTCTCCTTTTTTTTATTTGATAGTCCCTTTATGCTCATTGTGTACAAATGTAGTGATGTTGTTAGAGGTGGAACAGAGGAACAGCACAATACTAAGGGAGAAAAATGATTTAGAAAGACGAGCTGACAAGGTCATATCTGAACTGTCCAACAATATCCTCTTTCTTTTTGCATTCATGGGAGGAATTAGCATCTACCTAACCATCAAAATACCAACTGCTACTGCCTTTGCCATCTCTATTCTATTGATGTGTTTATTTTTGGCCGGAACATTCATTCTCGTCGGCATGGCAAAATCAAGGATTACACTAATGAACGCGTTCATCGAGGGTTTTACAGAAAGATATAAAAAGGTGAGAGAAGACGCAAAGACGCAACAATTCTAATGGAATTGGAACAGAACAGGAAAAGATGGCTAGCAGCTAATGTTGTGGATAACAGTGAAGGTCTTGTCATGAGCATGGATTTTTTTATTGACAGAGCTAAGAATATTTCTGATGCTATAGATTTTTCTGACTTTGAGAAACATTATTATAAGTTGATCAATTTGTCTTGGGTGCTCGGAGGTATCTACATTCCTGTTGTGCTGGTCCTGTCATATTTCAACTATTACTACAGTGAGTATTTTCTTTTTCTATGAGTCTTTTACATAATGTACAAAAAATGTTTCACACTTTTACTAAATGTATTCAAAGTCTATTTTGGTGCATGTTAAAGCATGATCTAGTAAAATTATAGATCTTTACTAAAATGCAGTTCATTAACAAGTCTAACCATCCTTTGATTTTTCAATTACAGGACAGGATTCCTCGTCACTTGATGGTATGTTAGATTTTTCTTCTCTGGCGCATAAGATTTCCTATTCAATGGCAATGTTAGATACCATTTTCTATTTGCAACATCGGGACTAAGTAGTATAAATACTCTCATCAAACTAAATTTCTTTTTTCTCACAGCATGTCAACATGAACATCGCCAATACCTAGGGTATATATATGTCTCCGCGGCTGCTTTCTTTTTGGCATCCGTTTTCTTTCTTGACTCTTGAAATTATCTTCATGCGGATTGGTAGTCAACTCCTGCCCATTACTTTCTTTAGTTGTCTGGTTATTCTTCTTTTTCATTATTTTAAAATATGCTTCACAGATTATGAGTATGTCCTATTGAAGAGTAACTGTGACCAAGGAAACACCTGTATGCTGAGCTCGACATGGACTCCCTTTCTGTGATCTACCTTATTTTCCTACCTCCTCCTCCCGTTAAGCGTTAAGTGTCTAGACATCAGATATCTTTAACTATTCGTCTAAAAACTGGCAGACTTATAATGATTCTTCAAGATAGATATGTATATAATCTTTAAGCTTTCCTGTGTAGACTGTGTAATGGATATGCAAATATGATTATAGTTTCCTTCTTGTCTAATTCCTTTTTCACTTGCAGAGGCAAGAAGTACATGGAGCAGTGGATGTTGTCTCTTTAAAAATTATCAATATGGTGCACTGCTGTCTGCCTAGATTATGATTCTCAAACCAGGGGCTGGTGCTGTCTTTTGATGTATGAGATGTTCAAGTTCATCAGTATTAGTAGTGGCAGCAGATCAGTATTTGCATTAGACGATATATAAATACTTGAGTTTTGTCGTGGCAGTGATCTTTGCTTTTGGCTGAAAAATGCAAAACATTATCATATCAATTGCTGTTGGAAGGGGTAGGGGAATTGTGGATTGACTTATCAGCCTACTGCTGTTGTAAATAAAAGCCTCCATCTCCTGAAAACCAGACAACTGAAACGTCATTGATTATATCTTGATTACAGATTAAAATCACTAGTATGTTGACTTATGCTAATTTGCAATTTCTTTCTTGGTTCATTTTCTACCATGTATGTTCTATAGCTCGTAAGATGGTCTGGTTAAAGTTTCAAAATGAAAATCCGTTAATTTAAAGTTTCAATTATTTGTTACACCAATTAGCAATTCTGTAGAAAAAGCTTTGTTACTATTCTCTATTGATGAAACTTTGCTGGATTCTACAGTTGTTCCTCATCTCAGGTAGGAGTAATTGGTATGTACTATGGTGGTTTCAAGTTACCCGTTGTTTGATCTAGTGTCTAGCTTATGCTTCTGGACCACAAAGAGGACCATTTGAGGCACTTTTTAAGTTTTGCAAAAATAGCTATGGGGAAAAGTACGGAAATAGCCTATTTAAATTCAAACTTACCAACCTCTAGCCCAAAATTAGACATTTACCAAAATTAGCCCAAAATTATACACTTACCAAAATTAGCCGAAAATTAGAGACACGCAAGGAAGGATTCTTCCATTCGAGAATCACGCTAAAGATCTTCCTTCCTTCCCTGTTTTTCAAGCGTATCAATTTCACAGAGACATACATTCTGTAAATCATGGCCCAAAATAGTTTCACTCAAAAATCGATCAATTTCACTGTAGAAGCAACAATTTCCTTTCGCGATTTCTCTGTAGATACAGCTTTGATGAAGGAACTACGAACTACAATCAAAATCAAGGAATTAGTGAGTTTTGACCTAATTTCAGCTACTTCAATGACAAATTTACCAATTTTAATTCAGTATGGTGGCCGATGGAATGTTGACAACAATTTTGTAGATTACAATGCGGATGCTGTAATAGTTACTCCAAATATAAGTTTTGAAGATTTCGTAGGCATGATTTCGAAACAACTTATGAATATTACTGAAATCAAATACACTGTCCAAAACGGTTCTCCACCAATAGTGATACACAATAATATGGGTGTATGTGTATATCTTGAGCTGAAAAAAGCTCGAAATTTACAATGTATCCCCTTTGTATAACCTCGAGTGAAAAGGATATGGATATGATCTGCTACAATTCAGATTCTGTTGTGATTTCCTCAGAGTGTGCACAAAGCTCAGTTATACAGGAGAGACACAATGGCGATACAATTAATATGATTGAGTTTGGGGATGGAGAAGACTGGCAGGATACGGAATCTGATGAAAATACAATAATAACTGACCCTCAACACATAGATGTAGAAGAAGGTCAAATTTATAAAGACAATGCTATGATAGTCAAAGTCATGAAGCACTTGGCAGTAAAGGAAAAATTCCAGTTTAAGGTGCATAGATCAAGTGAAAGCAGGTATCAGAATATCCACTGTATAATTATGTATCTCAATATATATCGTAGTTGATGTTAGAAGCATAATTATGCAGAAAATAAGTTGTTGCTTGTAAGTCTGTGGTTGTATACTTTTAAGTTGTGGTTGTCACCGTCTAGTACTGTATAGTCATTGTATTTTTTTATCTAGTATTGTTGATGGCAGTGTGTATCACTATATATCATTGTATTTCATGTCGCTCTGTTTATTGATGGAAAAGTTTATATCCTTGTCGTAGGTACTGCTTAGTGTGTATCAACAACAACTGCAATTGGTGTTTTAAGTCTTCGAGCCTGAAAAAAGCAAAACTTTTCAAGGTCAGAAATTTCAGCAAACTGCACTTATGCCCGCTGAAAGACAGATCTTACGCACAATGTCAAGCTACTGCAAAACTCATCGGCAGTTTTGTGATAGACAGGTATCAAAACCCAAAAACAATATACACTCCTAATGACATAATTGGAGACATGAACAAGTTGTATGGTCTTCAAATGACATATATGCAAGCATGGAGATCAAAGGAATATGTAGTTCAACTATTGAGAGGGAACCCGAGTGAATCATATGAAAAGATGCCAAGCTACTTTTATATGCTGGTTCTTACAAATCCTATGTCGGTGGTAAGTTTGAAAAAAATAGAGGAAGACCTGTTCATGTATGCTTTCGTTGCACTATATCTGTCTATAAAAAGATGGCAGTATTGCAAACCGGTTGTTGTTGTAGATGGAACCTTTCTTAAATCGACATATAGAGGAACATTATTGGTAGCATCCATACAAGATCCAACAGGTAAAAATAAGAATAATAATGTGTGTGTACATGTTTATATGATTCAATTTATTAGGTAGTATCCTACCACTCGCATATGCCATAGTAGATTGAGAGAATAATGCTTCCTGGGAGTGTTTTTTTGCGAGGTTCAAGGATGCATTTGGGGAAAGGGAGGGAATGTGCATGGTATCGGACATGCATGAGGGCACTGAAAATGCAGCGGCAATATTGTATCCACAAGTACCTCACTGTGTCTGCATATGGTATCTATGGAATAATGTAAAAAATAATTACAAGAAGAACCATTTGCAGCTCAAAGACATATTCTTTGCTATGGCCAAAGCATACAAAGTTGAGAAGTTTGATTACCACATAGCAGAGGTAGAGAGAATTGATAAGAGGGTCAAAAATTACTTAATAAACGTTGGGTGTGAAAGATGGTCCAGAACACATTCCACTGTCAACAGAACATTGACAATGACTTCAAACATTGCGGAGTCGATCAATTTAGCGCTCAAGTCTGCTAGGGAACTCCCAGTACTACCTTTGCTGGAGTACATAAGGCAATTGATCGGACGATGGAGCGTTACAAACTAAAAGAATACAATAGAATCATTTACTAATCTTGGGAAAACATATGATACAATGCTGATGGACAATCTCGAATTGTCACATCGGATGAAGGTATGACTAGAATCTGTAGATACTTGTGCATATAATATGTAATCATGTCGAATTCACGGATATGTTATATCTTGAGCCCTTTATGTGATTCTGTTAAACTAGTATCCACTTGCACGACACATGGAGACCAAATTGATTAAAGCTAACATTTTCTAATATTCATTGTTTGCACAAAGGCAATATTATAGTGTTCAAGTAATGGAGGGTCTTATCTCTGTTACCCGAGGCTTCAGGTTTTCTGTTTCTTTTCAAAGCTGGTTGGTCTACCTCTATTCTCTGTTTCTTTTGGGGCATGTAAGAAATTAGTCATTATGTAAGCAAATTATTCAACTTTTAGGCGACCACCAGCATGTATATAAGGATTTTAATTTAATGTAGCATATATGCCTACCCCACTGCTGAAATATTGGTTAGTTTGACATGATATTAAGTTATTTTGAATCTTATAGGCTCTCTAGTATATTGTTTTGAGGGGATATGCTTTGTCACCACTAATGATAGTTGATAAAATTTATAGGTGGCCCCTTCGACGAGTTACTTATATTCAGTACTTGACAAGGGTAAGCACAGAATGGTGTTCCTAAAAGATCGAACTTGCAGCTGTAAAAAGTTTTAGCTGGATGAGCTGACATGTGCACATGCTTGAGCAGTATTAAAATACAAATACATTGATCACATTGAGTATTGCTTGGTGTACTACACCAGAAATTACCTATTGAAGACCTATGAAATTTCAATTTATCTGGTTCCTGATAAAAGCACATGAAAAATTCCTAGAGAAGTTCTAGACGAAAAAGTCTTGCCACCAGACGTGACTAAATCAATAGGAAGGCCAAGGAAGGGGAGGTGCAAGCCAAAATCTGAAAGGGAACGAAAAAGGTTGATTTTACTGGAAAAATTATAGAAATAATCCAAAGAGAGGATGAAATATGTCAAACTTAGAGTTACTTGTTATTTTACTTTACTGAATATCATAGAGATTTAGAAGAATCCAATATATCAAGAATTATATCAATGCAAAATGTCATTTAAATTTTAGATATAAATAAATATTTGACCTATCATTTAAAATCGTGTTGCAAGTATATCTTTTAAATTATACATCTGTTTGATTAAAAAAGAAGTTGTATCAGCTATGTATCATATTTGTATCTCTTATGTATCATCTATGTATCATCTATGTATCATATTTGTATCATCTATGTATCTCTTGTGTATCACCTATGTATCTTTGTGTATCGTCTCTTACTCATGTCTGTATTTGTGTAATAACAAAGCTAACTAAAGGGAAACAGTTGTAGCAGCTAGAAAACTGTGCAAATAGTTTTAGAAATTTGCAAATAAGAGTGTGGCTTCATCAATACATATTTCAAAACCAAACAAACTGCAGAACTCGTTGTGAAGAAACTAACTGTGCAACAATCCAAAATGACTATATCATCTTTGTATCATGTGTGTATCATACATGTATCATGTGTGTATCTGGAAGAGACAGTGTATCACAAACTACAGTATATTTTTCATATCTTGAATTCACAACACAAAATCAAGGGAGAAAACACCAAAATAAACTAAACTGCAATACTCCAATATTGCACTAAAACTCATTAAACCTTTATAACAGAGCAGACATCTCATTTTCCATACAAATTTTAAAAGTATTCATAAAATTCAAACACAAACAAATCTGACCCGTCTTACAACAATGACAATAAAACAGAACATAATAAAAAATAAAATTATTGAGTTCATCCCACAACAATGACAAAGGTAACTACTTCTTCCGCTTCACGACTTATTCTGTCGACCAATAATCTCATCATCACTTTGCGCGTTCAGTTCCTTCTTCTTTCTAGCATAATCCCACAAGAGAGCACAAAATCTGCGCCGGTGTGTATAGGCATTGAATTTTTTAGGAGGCGTCTTGCCCTCAATGAAATACTCGGCAAATGATGCCACAACTACATTGCAATCACTATAAAAATAAAAATAACAACAATTATCAAACTGCAGAATCTAAAAACAAAACAGATTGTGTTGAAAGAAATTCATACACTTCGACTTGTTGAGGCAGTCCTTCAACCAGTTTTACATCAAAAGGGGTAATTGTAATTACCTGACTTGTCGGTTTGTGAATTAGCGTCTCGTTCAGCTACTTAAGGCTCCGAGCAGCTTTGTGATGTGTATTATGACTTGCGTGTGTGGTCGAGTTTGGTTTTCGG